CACATTCCCACCTATAATATTGTCCCATATTCCCACTAAATCTTGGTATTGCAAGTCTTTTAATCTTTACTATTCTATTGTTGTATAATTTAATATCAATCCTATACACTTTAAAGGATAATAAGTTTCCTAATTGGTAGCAAGAGTGGCATCCACTTCCTAAAAAAACGTACCTCTAGAAACTCTATGACCTTTGATGAATGTCAACAGTTGCAGAAAGGCTTCAGGCCTTTTGTTCATAGAGTCGCTATGAGTCGTGCTTGAACTTGACAGCAATCAAAAACACAACAACAATTTATTATTAGGGAGCTCTGGTACCTTCGTGATAAGGAGTTACACTGCCAGCCCACAGGCACACAGTTTGAGTTCACCAGCTGTTCTGTGGGAGAAAGATGGACAATATAGTCTTGTACAATTACCTCCTCTGAAAACCTGAGGAAAGGTCACCTATGAGTCTGTTCTGACTCAACCGTACACAACAAAACAATAACTTACTACTATGGCATACATCTCCATGTATTTAAGTTTTTCCCCATTTTTTAATATTGTTATTTTAATAATTTTTCTTTTAGTTATTCCCTATTTTTCAATAATATTTTCCAGCTTTAAGTGTGCATCCCTTTCTTGAGTCTTTGACGATTTGATTTTGCCTCCCTTATAAAACAATAATCTGGTTACAGGTTAATGCTTGGAGAAACACAAGACTACTAAGTCAGAGACAAAAGATTTTATCACTCATGTCACAGCAAGCAGCATAACCACCAGTATATTTCACTTACCACCACATCCCCTGAGAATGATGGCATGGATCATATGACCATGATTTTGGACTACAGTCGAGGAACTCAGAGATCAGACAATCTATTGTTTTTGTGTAAAGTAACAAGACTTCATTTGACTGATGGTAGATATTATCTTTTATCTTATCCTTCAAGGTACAATCATCCCTCAAAAATGGCATAAATGAAAAAATGGTCAGAGCCTTGGGAAGTTCAAATACCCACCAAGAAGTGGCTTATTCAATAAGCCTAAGGATTCTCTCTCCCAAAGGTTTCACACAAGTTTAGTGCTTTGTTTTGGGTCAAAATTATCCTTATTTCCTATTTCTAAAATAGTTTTGGTTTTCAGTTACAATATTCAGCAGATGTCAGATTATAACATATAAAATTTTTAGTTGAAAACTGACCTTGCAAAACTCACCTTATTAGGTCTACGAGTTTTCTGTAGATTCTTTAGAATTTTTGACATATAACCAAGTGGTAGAAATGGATAGTAAACTACTCACTGGAGGACTTAATAGATTCACTACCAACCAGTTGAGATTCCACTGGAACTTTCTGGCAATGTTGTTACCACTGACACTTGCTGGGAACACAGAATCAACAGTGTCCTTCCTTGTTCTGGCTACCAAATACTGCTGCTATGACAAGAAAGAAAAATAGTCTGAAATTTTAACTTCTTTCTTCAGCTACCCAAGGAGAAATATTTATATAGAGAAACTCTAATATTAGGAAGCAAAGCAATGGTGGGTACATACACTCTTTCCTCTTTGGTCACAACTGTGCTTGTCCCTTACAGCTCACTGAGATTTCACACCAGCTGTGGATTCACTGCTCTCGTGGATAGTTTTAGTATTTTAGGAGCATGAATATCTCCCTGCAAGATATTGACCTTAGATGAGTTAATTACAAAATTTCAAACACAACAAGACTAATTATTCAAATCCAAGAGGACACACTGCTACTGGCAAAAGAGTGACTTGGGGATCAAGATTCCTTTCCATCTGGACTCTTTCTCTTCTTCAGTATCCTATTCTTTGTTAAACAAAACTCTACCTTTCAATTAGAAATCTAGCAAGCCTGAATTTAACAGAGATTGTAATTCTCCAACCTGCCTGATTAAATTTTATGTTTGGTTTTAAACATTACCATTCAAAGACCTTTTAAATATGAAGATTTCTTTTAGGACTCTCTGGACAGCAATTTGGTTTTCAGTCTATGAAGTGAGTGGAAAGTTAAATGATGTGAGCTTTTTGTTTTCTTTTTTTCTGAGGACGCTCCACTGTGATTAGAAGAATCTACACACTCCACAGCCTGGAATTCTCCTTGTTCAGGAGCTGAGCAAAGACAGAAGAGCTGAGGTGCCAGAAGTCTAAATAGCCGGCCAGTTAAGAGAAGGAGCCAAGATGTAAATAAAAATCAAGCCCTTAATCATTTCGTGCCATAGTGTAAACAGTCAAATCCAGAGGACTTGCTTATTTCTCCCCATGTTCCATAATCTTGGGATTGGGCCAGGGGTAAGGATCAAGAGTATCACTACAGAAATAGAGTATATTTCACTGAAAAAGGAGTCCAGAACTAAAGCCTCTTATAGCTTTATGGACCCAAGCGTTTTGGTGAGGTCACGTTGAAAGGCTAATAGTAGAAAAGAACTCAATATTGTGTCATAAAACTATCTTCAAGTTTCCCCCCTTCCATCTGATGAAGAAGCTTTAGGGAAGCAACTCAAGTGCCCATCAACAAAGGCATGGATAGAGAAAACATGCATGCAATGTAATATTATGCAGCATTGAAAAACAGTGAACTCAAAATATTATACAACATAGGGGATCCTTGACATTATGCTGAGTGAAATATCTCTATCACAAAAGGACAAAAGATGCATAATACTACTGTTACAAAATAGGACTGACATGGGGGATTGAGAAAATAGGAAAAGAGTGGGTAGATAATGAACTCTGTATGGGAACAGGGAGGGGAAGAAAGGACTGAAAGGAATATATGATCAGGTGTTAGATGTACGACAACAATCTGGGACAAGGGGTGCACTGCAAAGTGGCCTAGGGGGAGGAGGTTGGAGGAGGGAAGGGTATGTGCAACAATGAATGAATAAAAAAGGGGGGGGGGACCAGCAGCACTGAGGAAGGTCTCTGCCAAAGTTCCCATAAAGAGGCCTCCAAAAAGAGTTCTTGGGCTAAGAATGCAAAGATGAAAAAGAACATTCTTTTACTTCAATAGAACCTAATTCTTTAACTCACTTTCTTCAGTGATTGCAATGCATTTGTTATGTGCAAAATCTAGTTTGAGAGAACAGCTTTCCCCTGAGGCCGCTCAGGTAAATGGCTTCACTGTGGATTCTGGGGGTTCAGTTGTTCTGTCACTTCCTATATATATATGATATTAAGCAAGTGACTTAACTTCTCAATGCCTCACTCGTGTATGCAGGTGAATTATAATTAATTTAACTGTAAAAGCTAATTTTTTGTTTCACACAAATAATTTAGGATGACACTGAGCCAAATGCTCAAAATTGGGCCTTTCAAATTATGCACACTCTCTGGGGTCATTAAAAAACAAACTAAGCCATCACTGTGGAGTCCATGTGGACTGACAGTGACCCTACAGGTCAGAGTAGAACTGCCCAATAGTGTTTTCAAGGGTATAAATTTTTAGGGAAGCTGCTATCATTATCTTTCTCCCTTCAAATGGTTAGTGACTCTGAACCACTGACCTGCTAGTCCTTGTGAACCACTATGCTACCTGCCTGATTCCTTTCACAGGTCTCAGAATAAAATCCCCAAACCACAGGTCTCAGAATAAAATCTCCAAACTCTGTCATCACCCGAATGGTATGTATGCGTCTAACTGGTGTAATGAGGGTAGGTGTGGCATAGACAGTGAGACTGGCTCAGGAGAGTATAGAGTTCAGAGATACTGTGCATAGGGTCACTATGAGTTGTAGATGACTCAATGTCACATAACAATAACCTCTTAAGAGTTCAGATAGTTCCAGTCACACTTAATTTCTTTCAACATTACTCTGCTAGCATGTCATCTCCTCCAATTTGCCTTTCTAAAGTAGCTCACCTGTGAACTCATAGGCCACCCTGTTTCCTGTTATTACTTGTAATAACGTTCTAAAAGTTTTGTGTATTTTGTTTTGTTACATTTCTTATTTGTTTTTGTGCCGATTATTTTCATTCTTCCACTATAATCTCAACTTGGATCAAGACTGATGTTGTTATGAAGCCTGCCAAGCCCCATAGCCCCAGTTACTGTATCAATCCGTCTCATCTGAGATCTTCCTCTTGTGCTCTGTCCCTTCACTCTTCCAAGCATGATGTCCTTCGACAAGGATCGGTCCCTCCTAGCCACGTCTCCAAAGTATGTGAGACGGAGCTTCAAAATCCTAGCCTCCAAGGGGAAACTTAGTTTCACCCTCTCCAAGACAGATCCGTTCATTTTCTTGGCAGTACATGGTATTTTCAGGTCTCTTCTCTAGCACCACACCTTGAAGGTATCGATTTTTTTGTCATCCCAAGTCATCCAGCTCTTTTGTCTCTGCACACTGCACAGCATCTGAAGTAAGTGCTCAGCAAGCATTTGTAGAATGAACAGATCTTGTTTAATTTCCGTAACTCCAGGAGATTGCATACGTCATTTCCTTCTCTCTTTAAGACAGGAAAATGCGAAATTGGGAGAGGATACATTAACTTATATAAGGTCAGTCACAGCCAACTAGTGTGTCTAACCTACAGGTTTCCAAGCTGGAGTTAGATAGCACCAAAGAGGTGGGGAAAATAGTGTCTTCCCACCCCAAAAGGCTTAGCTCTGCGCCTGCTTCCCTCCTTTCAAAGATCAGGTCCACAGGACCTTTATATAGATCAATGCAGGGAGTGCACCATCGTTAACAGCACAAAGCTGGCGCGTCCTCCACACGCGAGCGGCACGGCCCTCTCCACCGGGGGAACAAGAACTCACGCCACCTGCCACCCGCAGACCATGCCGCGACCTGCACAGGCCCCCGCACGGCCACCACGCTCCCCTCTGCGCAGGCGCGGGCTGCCCGCTTCCGCCTGGGGTGGAGCTGAAGCTCTGTAGGCGGGTCTCGGTCTCCCTACAGCGCCTGCACCCCCTGCGGGCATCTGCATGGATCACTGCAGTGCCCCCGGTTTAGGCTTGGCCAGGGGACTGGCCTCTGCAATCCCGAAGCTGCAGCAGGATCGGAGAACTGGGACAGATGCGGAAGCTCCTGGTGCTAGAGCTGTCCAAACTCGCCGTTTCTTGCTCTGCCTCTACTTGGTGGGATTCTTGGTGAGTACGGGGGCTGGGCTGTGAGGGCACTGTCATTTCTGTTGAATGAGAACCTACTCAAAGCTGAGTGTCCATTGGATTACCAGGACTGTGAATCGCACGGGAAGAGAGCTCCAGCTCTTATGGATTCAAACCACTGAACTGCTGGTGGATTCGAACTACCAGATAGCTATAGCCTTCAGTTAGCAGGCAACTTTCTTGGCCTATACTTACTGCCAGCTGTGGGCTAAGTGCTAATCAGATCTGGACTTGCAAGCCTTCTAGCGCGTTTTCTTCTTCTTCTTTTTTTTTTTAAAAAAAAACAAACAAAAAACCCAACAACCCTCCATGGATATTAGTAATGTTCAGCCAGGTTTCGAAACCTGTGATCTGCACAATCTAATGCCTCCCCGCCTTTTAGTCTTCCTCTTGCCCTTTAACCCTCTTCACTCTTTTGTGGACACACAGTTTCACTCCCCTGCACAGTCCCTGGTTCCCTGCTCAGCTGAGTTCCATAAGAAGTCCTACCAGACTCCTGTATGACCCTTGGACCTAAACCCGCTCGGGCCTGACCCCTGGCGGTAGACACAGCATTTTAAGAAGGGCAGGGACTATCTTGGATTGATTTGGGAAAGATGTGATAAATCTGCTTCCCTGAAGATTTACAATTTAGCCTGTGGAGTTTATGGCAGCACTGTTCTGCCTTACAGGATCAATGAGTTAGATGAACTCAAAGACAGTGGGTTTTGATGAGTTAAGATTTTACTAATTTAGTCAGTGATTTCTTTATAAAGAACAAGCTTTTTCAGAATTCAAAGAGAATGTTTACATTTAAAATGTTGTTGACATTTACCATTACAATTTCTTCTGCTGTGATTAGTATCACACTAGTCACTAAAAAGCAGAGGTCTACAGAGTCCCACATATTTTGTTTGGCTGTTCCGCTTCATCATTTCCGATGTCAGCTGTTCCTGCCCTGTTCAGTTCCCCTACTCCCCTGTGCCTCTTGGGTTCATTTTGTGGTTTGTTGGAACGTCACACGGAAACTCAAAATTTGGGAGGAAAAGGACTCACGTGAGTGCTGGTGAAGCAGGTGGGTGCTGCAGAGACTGGTGAGCCGGGATCCACACAGCTGATTGGCTGCTGTGTCCCTGGTTAACTCGGCGGCCAATAGAGTGAACACTAAGCTTTCATGAGCTTATTTAGGCCTCTAGGAGGATAGGACTTGCATCCCACCAGAATCCTATCAGCCTCTTTAGTATTATAAGTGTTTAATCACAAAATGGGAGGCCCTGGGTGGAAGATCCTCATCAATTCATTGAACAACAGCATTTGAAAGATATGTAGTAGCTTTGAGTATCCCTGAAGGATATCTAGTGGTTTTTTATTCAGTAACATCCAAAATATAACATATAACCTAATTATATATATATATTATTTTATATTATACACACACACACACACACACCTTTGGAGCTCCTTTTATATATCTAGATATACAAATATATCTAAGACTTTTAGGGAAAATGACTCTTGGGAGCCAGAGAGCAAGATGAAAGAAATCCTTTTTCAAAGTTCTTCTTAATCTCTACTAATAAGTTTTATTTTGAGAGGAAGGTAGAGATTAGGCTTTTCACCTGTTTTGGTACTAAGACCTGTTCTCGCCTCCCAGTTACATGGTTAGAGCATTATTCCATTTTCACTTTTAGTCCTTACATCAATCAGCTGGTAATTTTAATGTCAGGCTACTAATATAAAAATAATAAAATTGGGTTTCCTTAGGAAGTCTTATGGGAAATAAGGTTTCTACTCTGTTAAGGAAGGTCACTATGAGTCAAGATTAACTCCTTGGCAATTGGTATAAGTCAAAAAAGACTCCAGGACACACAATGACAGCTTTTGAATTTATTCATCAGTTTTGACTGAGAGATACTAGGTTAAAAGATTAAGCAGCAAAGGAAGTTCTGGTGGCCTAGTGGCAAGCAGCTGCACTGCAATCCTGAAGGTGTGTGGTTTGAATCCACCAAATCCTCTGCTGTAAAAGGAGGGGCAATCTCTTCCTGTGCCAGAGGGATCAGACTTGACAGTACACAACAAGGAAAGAAAAAAGATTAAGTGGCCTCTGTGACCACAGATCAAACTTTTGCACAGTGCAAAGTTCACTCTTACTGATAGTACTTCTTTTGTAATTCTTTTTTTATTTTAATTTTTTTTATTATTAATTTCAATGAAAGTTAACAGAGACTTTGGATTTTCATTTATTCATTGTTGCACTTTTCTCCCTGCCTCCCCCTCCCCCTCCCAGTACACTCTTCTCTTTGAAAAGTAAAAGAAAAATTCTTTCATTGTTTTATAATCCCTTCCCTCAGGTTCACTCCACTAGTGATGGTATTTCTGATGCATTAAGGCAAAGCTGCTTGCCAAGGGCCTCTCTAAAGTACTATAGAGTAAAACTGTTACTTAGAAGACTAAGGTGCTAGAGACTCAAGCCATGGTGTTTTCCATTGCCTCTGCATGCATGTGAAAACTGGACAATGAATAAGGAAGAGCAAAGAGAAAGTGATTCCTTTGAATTGTGATGTTGGTGAAACACTTTCCATATGGCATGGATAAAGCAAGGATGATGAGATTTTGTATCAAATATGTTGAGCATATTAACAGGAAGGACCAATCTTTGGAAAAGGACTTCATGTTTACAAAAGTAGCGAATTAGTGAAGGAGGGAAGCCTTAGTAGGATGAATTGATAAAATGACTGCAACAATGGGCACAACAGAAATTTCAGGATGTCATAAGGTTGGTCAGAGTTTGTTCGGTAGAAATGGGGTCTGTATGAATCACAACTAGCTCAATAGAACCTAAGAAGATGCTTTCAGATGAGGACATACTTTATGTTAAGACCATTTTAGAACAGGACAGAAGCTGTCCTCCTGGGGAAAAAAAAATACATTCCTTTTCAGACTCAAAGTTTTTAAATAAAGACAGTAGCTAGTTACTACATTTTCAACAGATCTCAGCCTTTGAACTTAAATATATCTTTTCTATATTGTGTTTAATATTCTACCCAAAGCTTCCTTAAGTATTACAACTCGAGGTTTGAATTTGTTCTTCAGTTCCCCGAGCTTAAGAAATGCTGAATGAGTTCAACTCTTGATTTTCTGACTCCAGCTCCTTGCACATTTCATTGTAATACTTTATTTTGTCTTCCCTCACTGCCCTCTGGAATCTTCTGTTCAGCTATCCTTAATATCTTAATTTCTTCCCTTTGCTTTGGCTTCTCAGTGCTACAGTGCATTATTTAGAGTTTTTCTGATGTCCATCTTGGTCTTCCTCCTTTGTCTTTGTAATGATGTTTGCATTCTTCCTGGATGATATTCTTGATATCCTCCCACAGCTCATCTGGTCTTCACTCATTAATTAATGTCCAAGGCCTCAAACCTTTTCCTTAGATGATTTTGAAATTCAGGTGGGATAGACTCAAGGTCAAATTTTGGTTCCTGTGGACTTGATTTACTTTTCCTCAGTTTCAGCTTGAACTTGCATATGAGTATTTGATGGTCTGTTCCACAGTTATCACTTGGACTAGTTTTCACAGCTGATACTGAGCTTCTCCAGCGATTTTTTTCCACAGATGTAATTGATCTGATCCCTGTGCATACTATTAGGTGCAATCCATGTGTACAGCCTGTGTTTATGTTTCTTATAAAATGCATTTGCAATGACTATATCGTTGATTGTGCAAAATTCTATCATTCTATCTCCAGCTTCATTTCTGTCACCAAGTTCATGTTTTCCAACTGCTGATCCATCTTCTCTCTTCCCAACTTTTGCATTCTAGTGAGTCACCCATTATTACTAGTGCATCTTGATTGCATGCTTGATCTATCTCTGACTGCAATAATTGTTAGAAATCTTCTATTTCCTCCTCTTTTGTTGCAGGCTGAGGGTAAAGTATTTTCATAATTATTAATAATGAGACAGACAACCAAGAATGAGATAGAACAGAAAGCATTAAAAAAAAAACAAACCAAACGGGGCCAGCAGTTCTCTACTGACAGGCTGACTTTAGCGTCCCTGTACCTTTATTGACAATTATCAGGAAGTAAATCACAAAGAAAATTCAATGCAAATGAAGTCAAGCTCTTTCTATTAAAAACCTTCCCCTGACTCAGGAAAGAGGGGTCAGCAAATACAATCCAAGAACCTGGTAAACCCTTAAGGATTGCCTTGGTACCTCAGGGTGAATTCCAGCTTGAACCACGCCTCCTCCACATCCTGAAATAGCATTAAGCTTATTACAAATATTTAGTATTGGCTTCCCATACTCTTTGGCTCTGGTTGTTGGTGCATATGTTTGAATGATGGTGATATTTACTGGACTTCCTTGTATGCATATGGATATTATCCTGTCACAACATTGTATTTCAAGACGGATCTAGAAACAACTTTTTTAACTGTGAAAGCAACTCCATTTTTCCTTACCTTTTCATTTCCAGCATAGTAGATCATGTGATTCTCTGACTCAATGCCAGGCCATCTCATTTTGCCAATACCTAGTATGTCAATATTTATGTGTTCCATTTCCTTCTTAACAATATCCAATTTTCGTACATTCATGGTTCTTAAATTCCATGTCCCAATCACTAGTGTCTGCTTACAGCTGTTCCTCCTCCTGTTTGTTTCCATACTTGAGGGCTCAGCCTCAGTTGCATATCTGTTAATCTAAGTGTACTCTGTTATGCATAGGGTTTTCAGTCATTGTACCAAAAAGAATTGGTGGACACAAGAATTTCATCAAAAATGTATGAGCAAGAGCTTGTGGTGATGAAGAAAGAAGCTCAAGCTGCTCTGAAAGAATTGG